GACATACCCAGTTCGGTCAAGCCTCTGAGACTATGCAAGAACTCAGAAGAGAGAGGGCAATACAGATGTTCCACCTGGGCTGAGCACTCAGTCACATATTCTCAACACTTACACCAGCAATGAGTCTCTGCACTGACTACTGTCCACTGCAAAAAAGTTTTTCTGACCAAGGTTGGGAGCAACTCAGGACTATGGGTGAAAACACAAATATTTAAAAGGTAGTTTGACAACCTGACCGTTTAGAAAATCAGCAATAGCACCCCAGTGGTTCTGACCTCCATAGCCACAGGCTTTTATGTAAGTTTACAGTATCAGGCATGTGCTCCCTCTAGTATGTACCCTAAGTCTCAAACCAAACTTAAAAGGTGGTTGTTTTATTCCTCAACACTCATGTCTCTATTGCACATCTGGCCTGGCTGGTTGATACTGTATGAAGCATGTGAGGTTCAGCTCTGGGTGAGATCACTGATGTCTTCTCTTCCTCAAGAACCTATATGGCAACATCTAGCACAATGAAAGCTAGCTAGCTGGAAAGAAGATTCCTAGTCAGTTTGAAATTGAATTTTCTATGTCCTTCAGTCACACTGTGTTGTAGCCTCCAACTAGAGCCCATGACCTCCTCATCTTTGACCAGGTGGCTTATAGTACCAGGCTTATTGTCCTCCCATAAAGCAGGCCTCACTAGTTATGCTACAACAGTCACGTCTTGCTCTGGCAAGTCAGTATTATAGCATGCAGAGTCCATCACTGGGTAAGAACATTGCTGCTTCCCCCTCCCCAAAGAAGCCTGCATAGCACCTTCAACACTATGGAAGTTAGCTAGCAGGAAGAGTTTCTTGGACAGTTACAACTTGATTTCTCTATGACCTACAAACAAAGTGTGCAGTATCTCCAGCAATAGAATCTTAATGTTTAGTCAAGGTGAGCAACCAAGAACATTGGCAATAACCTATATTGTTTTGGGACCCTCTGACCAAAAACTAAGAGGGAGATACTTAGTGTCCAGGACTCAGATTTTTGTTTAAGAACCTATGTTTTCTGGTCAGCATGATCCATGTGTATAGTATCCCTTTCTTCAAATTCCCTCCCCTCATTATACTTGTATTAGTTTATAAACAAATTGGCTTCCTATAGCTTCTTCATAAATCCTTCGTTTTGGCTATCTCACACTACATCTTCTTCTATCTTATACTCATTCCTATTTAAACCTTTAACCTTGAGCATTCTTTTTCTCTTCCATATAATGTGTTCTACTATTCTTTTTAATTTTATATTTTAATTGGGTTGCAAGATTTTAGCATTCCTTGTGGCCTTTTAACACAGCTTCCATTTTGTTAATCCTTCCCGACCCTCTCATCCCCCCGCCCCCGCTTAGCCCGTTATATGTCCATTCTTTCCCCAATGCCCCTCCCTCTCCCTGCTTAACTCTATGTCCACTTTCTATTTTCATCCCACTTATTCTCTACTGTTTTCCCCCCTATTGCATCCTTCTAACTGCTCATTTCTAGCTCCTAGATACCACATCCATTCCAAATTAAACAAATAAAAATTTGAAGATAGAGTCCACAGAAAAGAGAGAACATGAGGCTATTTTTTTTCCTGTCTGGGTCTGAATAACCTTACACAGTATAATATTTGATATATAATATTTGATATTTCATCCATTTACCTGAGCATTTCATTTCCCCTTTAAAATAAAAGAATAATATTCCATTGTGTATGTGTACCACATTTTTTATTCCCTATTTATGGGTTAGTGGACATTTGTAGGTTGATTCTATTCCTAGCTATTGTGAAGACAGAACAATGAGTGAGTGTCTGTGCAACAGAAGATAGAGTCGTTTAGGCACATGTGCAGGGTGGTATAGCTATCTCTGGTTCTTATGGGAACCTTCAGACTGAATTCCACAGTGGCTATTCTAGCATACACAATGTATAAAGGTTTGCCTCTCTCCACATTTATGGCAGATGTCTATTTTATCTATTTTATGTATTCATTTAACACTACTGTTTCTGTTTTGTTTTTGTCTAGATGATCTGTCTACTGGGGAAAAAATGAGATTGCAATACTGTAGTCACCTGCTATCACTGTGTTAGGGTCAGTCCACACTATACATTTAATAGAGTTTGTTTTTTAAAATGAGTTTATGTTTAGAATTAAAATATCTTCTTGGTGGATTACCCATTAACTAGTATTCTTTTCTGTTTGAAGACTATCTTGTCAGATAGTAAATAGCTGTATTTGCTTGTTCTATTTGTTGGAATATCTACTTCAGTCCTTTTACCCTAAGTTAGTGTTTGCCATTGATCTTGGCAGCAAAAAGCTGGATCCTGTTTTCTAATCTAATTTTAGTCCTTGTCTTTTTAGTGAGTTGAAACATTAGCACTGACGGGTATCATTGAAAGATTAATTTATCATTTTACTTCTCTATAAATTTTAATGCCTTTTCTGGACACAACAGACTAGGTTGCAGTATTTCAGATCTAGGAAGATATCTTTCCAGGTTCTTCTGGCTTTAAAAGTTTCTATGTAGTAATTAAGCATTATTCTTAATTGCTCTGTCTCTATAAGTTGTTACAAAAGATATTAAAAATACAACATCCCACACTATTCTCTGCTACTCACTGCCTCTTTGGCTAGCCCCAGTCTGCAGTCTTCCTTTCTCTGGTTCACCTGCCTCAGAGCCACCATCCACCTTCTCATCCACTCATCCCCTGTGGTCAGTGGTCACAAATCCCCTTAACCCAGTAAATCAAAATTCTAGAAGCTTATAATTAATCAGTTAGATTTATATATCAATAAACTCTCAATTCACAAGATGCCCACACAATAATTTCTGGCTCAATTGATAATGATACAAGCTGCCCACCTAGCTTAGACAAGTTATCCCACTTATTCTATCCTTATATGATATTTATAGCTACCTGTGGTTATTTAAAGCCACGCAGAATCTGGATTGTCTTCCTCTTGCTCCATCTTCCTTCCTTTTACTCCTCTCCCTGCCTCTCGTATCCCTCCTTCTCCTCAGCTCCACCTTCCCTTCCACTGCCCAATCACTGGCTCTAGCCTTTATTTTACAAGTTAAGGTGGGGAGAAGGTTCACAAGAAGTCACCTGTGTGTGTGATTCATTCCTTGTTCACAGGCCCTCCCAGGAGAGCGGAATTAGCATCAAAATACAAACAATACAAGGGCCATCCACAACAGTACCATGGCCTTCTCTTTCAAAGTTTTTAATATCCTTTCTTTAGTCGTTGTTTTTAGTACTTTAGTTACAATATGTTAGTAGACATCTCTCTTCTGTTCCTGTCTATTTGGCTTTCTGTGGGCTTCTACCCACTCCCTTTTCTCATACTGGTTACAATTTCCCCTCTCTCCACTCCTTCCAGTACCTCCCCACATGTTCTCCCATCCAGATCCACTTCCTCTCTGTCTCTCATTAGAAAACAACAGGCATCTAAGAGATAACCACACATGACAAAATAAAATATAATAAGATAATACAAAATCAACACATCTTAGTTGGACAAGACAAACCATTTAGGATGCTTCTTGACCCTGAATGCCACTTTAAAAAAAGCATTTTCTTTGTCTATTTCCCTTATTCTATGCCCATTATTTGAAAGTTTAGATGTTTCATGGTGTTTCAAAGCTGTCCTGTGCTCCATTCCTACATTTTGTCATTGACCTTTACTGAATGATTTAATTCCTCTGCCTTGTGTCTAAGATCCGATATTGCTTTTCACCTGCTATGTGCTATTGGTGAGCCTGTTCTCCGAGGTTTTTATTTGCCTTATTGAGTTTTCTACTTCCAGAATTGCTTTCATTTGGCTTTTGCTTAACAATTCTGTGTCATTCTCACTACAAGGCAATGATATAAGACAGTAGAACTTTTGGAATATGTTTATAACAGTTAGGGGAGGGGCATGGGGCTAGAGTCTATGAATGGAATTAAGGCACCATAGAAGACATCCCAAAGAGATGACTAGCTTCTTCTGCCATTTTGCATGAATCAGAAAGCAGGCTCTCAGCACTAAGTAGTTTGATCTAGGATCCCCAGCCAGCAGAACTGCAAAAAGTGAACTCCTGTTGTTAAGTAGCTACCAGTGATACTTGGTTATAGAAATCCAAACAAAGACATAAGGGGTCACTAATTGTAAAGGATAAGTTAGAAGTTTAGCCATGAGGACCAGGGCCAACAAGGAAGACTATTCCTCAAAAGCATCTGTTCTGTGACTTATTTAGTACCTGTAGTTAGAGAAAGCAGCAGCCTGTATTTAAGCTAGGGAGTAAATAAGTACTAAAGTATATTAGCTTAACCATTAAACTATAAAACAATAAAAATAAGGTCAAGCGTGTTAGAGTGTGGTAGCAAGAAGCTCACTGCCTTGCTTTTCTCGGTGTTCTAACTGGAAGACAGTGTAGCAAAGCAAAATATCTACAAACAAAGCATAGCTGTAAAGGTTTTTAAAATACAAAACCTCTTTTAATCTGGTAGATTATATAAACCAGAATTATATGAAGTTTGGTTTACTCTCATTTTTCATCCTCCAACTCCAGAGCAATAAGCAAAGTGTTGTTTTACACATAAAAAAACTTAAATCATGGTTAAAAACTTTCTGTTTTTATATTCACTTCAGTTTTATAGAGGGAAAAATGGTCAAAACTAAAGGTGGTAGGCTCACAGTTGGGTTCACTATGTAAGTCAGTAGTTATTGAACTTAGCTTAATAGTCATATTTCATACTCCAATAAATACAGTGGCCAGAATTCCATAATCTACTGGGTTTTACTTTAAACTCATTTTTAAAGGTTTCTTTCTGAAAGCCTTAGCAAAGACATTTTAAAGCAATTCAGCAATGTGTAAAGCATCATAATAAAGAATGCACATCTTTTTTTAAGAGCAGAGCAAACACGTGTTTCTACCCGAGCAGGTTATCTGCATTTTCTCTCCTCTGCAGCTCCATAAACCTGACCAATTGCAGAGCCCCAGGATACAAACCTTGTGGCTTCGGACTTGCAGCAGAGCGTTTTGCTGGTGTCCTCCCATTTATTCTCTGAGCCTCTGTAGTTGTGCTGCTTGTCGTACAAGGTGGAGCGACCTTTGCACAGGTATTGCTGCCTAGAATTTAAAAGGAAAGAGAAGGTAAATACAGAGATACAGCACTCTAATAAGTTAATATTCTTCTGACCACATAAAAATAGCATTCCAAGACCTTAGAAAACCTTGGCATGTATGTGTTATCCTTGACAGATTTTCCTGGGGAAGACCTCATTCTGTGTGTTCAGAAAGCTTCATATTCACATATAACGAAGACGGCTATATAAAGACCCCTCTCTGACTGCAGAAAGGACAGAATGTAGCTGCTAGTTGATACTCTAAGTGTCTAATCAGTGACTAAATTATTCAGATGAACCATAGGAAAATACTACTGTGACAGCTGACATTGAGACTCTACAAGAATGTCTTGAGGTGAAATGAGCCAATGTGCTCCCTTCCCCCAGTGAATTAGTATCCAAAAACATCCTAAACACCATGTTTGCAGCCATGCTGAGATTATACATATACTGTCGCATGTATTTAGGACTCAAATAACCCTGAAATGCAACATGAGATACAGAAAAAGTAAAACACAATCTTACATTAAATTTCTGATATAAGTTATATGTCAAATTTCACAGGCCTTTATTAAGTCACTTGCCAATATTTTTCTCCTTATAGATAGATTCAATAGGGGAATGTGACAATGCAATGTTAGTAATAAACTAAACTCCAATTAGAAGAAAATAAAAAGTTTATCAAGAATTCATGATAATTGAAACAAATTTCTTAAATTTTAATTTAAGAAGCTATCCTTTGTTACAAAAGGAAGCTTTATTTTTGTAAGATTGAAATATATAAAGTTAAAACTATTCAAGGTCTTTTAAAGCCTTGAAATAATTTAGAGTAACAAATGCTACTCTGAAAAACCCAACCAATTATGAACTTAGTAATCAACCCAAATGATGAAACTATATATTAAATCATGATTGCTTTATTTTCTCTGTTCCCTTTGAAATTTAGTCAGTAAGCCAGATTTTAGAAAATATGAAGTTTCAAGTATTATCCGAGAACTTATTAGACAGCCAAGGCTGAAACAGAAATTATCATCACTTTCAACAGATATCTTTTTGCTAAAATGGTGTAATGCTGTTTTGGATTAAGCATCATTTAGCAAACAAGTATTATTGATGTTTTTGGGGGAATGTTATTTAACATTTCTAAAAGAAGAAATAAAAATTCAAAATTTTTGAGATGGGGTGTCACTATGTAACTCTGGCTGGCCTGACATTTGCTATTTTGACCAGGCTGTTCTTGAACTTACAGAGACACCCCCTATACACACTTCTGTGTCCTCAATGCACATAATTCCTGGAATTGCATGCATGAGCCATCATACTCAGCCAAATGTTCCAATAATTAAATAGATGACTGTTTACATATTTAAAAAAAAATGAAAAGGAGCCAAAGTCCGTCCCTCAAATACACAGCAAGTGAAGCTTTCAGGGGATTCGGGTATTTGAGACTACTGAACAGCTGAGGACCCTAAGGTTGTCTCTTGTGGTCTAGCGAAGGATAACTTTGGGGCAGAACCAGTAAAAAAAGACACAATGTGAACCAGAGGGGGAAACTTTAACATAGGGTTAAATTCAGATCTGGCAAAGGAAGACTGGAGCTTTAGTCTTGAATTATAAAAGCTAAGAAGCAGGCTGTGGTGGCTAATATCAGTTGTCAATTTCATCGTATCGACAATCAACTAAACATAAGCAGCTGGCAGGCATGTGTGAGACTTTCCTAAAGTCACGTGAGGTGGGAAGATCTACCCTAAACCTGGGCCGCACTGTCTGGCGAGAGCCCACATCAAAGGATTAGACGGGAGGACGCTTTTGCTTTTGTCTGCTTGCCCTCACTCTTGCTGGAAAATCCATCTATTCTTAGGACATTCCTCTGCTGGTATTAGAACCTCCTTCAGGATTCTTACATCATCTGGGACCCTCCTCACTTCCCCACCCACCTAGTTAAACAGACTTTCTTTTCCTCTCTCATTAGAATATAGGCATCTACAAATAATAATGATAGAAAATGAAAACAAACAAATGAGAATAAGACATAAAAGCAAATAGAAGAAAAATAACCAAAGAAAAAGCACAAAAAACACAGATAGAGCAGAGAAATACAAGTTTACATGAACAGAAGTCACATGAAAACACAAAACAGAAAATCATAATATATACACAAAGGACCTGAAAATGGGAAAAAGCCCTGACAAAGAACATAAAAACAAAAATGCCATTAAGTTTGTTTAGTGTTGGTCTACTGCTGGGCATGGGGCCCAGCCTTAATTGTGGTTTGTATCCCAAGAGAAAATCCATTGGAGAGAAGAATCATTTTTTCATTTGTGAGTAGTTATCAATTGGACATAGGTTCTGGGTTAATGATGTGACTTCTGTTGTCTGCAGTGGGACTCCATAAGACCTCTGCAGGCCCTGTGCATAGTGCCACAGTCTCTGTGAGTTCCTATGTGCATTGGTCCTGTGTCTTCCATCCCCTCTGGCTCTTAACAATCTTTCCATCTCCCCTCCAACAGGATTCCCTGAGCCTGGGGAAGGAGTTTGATGAAGATATCCTGTTTAGAGATCCCAAGGTTTTTCTCTCCCTGGGTAACACCTGCCTGCGAGTCTCAAAACATGAAACACAACTGGCTGAGAAACACTTAAATGTTCAACATCTGCTGTTTGTCATTTGTATATTAAAAAGGCAGTGCCTCTGCTTAAAGTGCTTATCAACTATAGAAGTTTCCCTGTGGAATAGTTTTGGATCCTTAATGTATACTATCATACCATCTGCAAACAAATATTTTGACTGTTTCCTTCACAATCTGTATCCCTTTGATCTTCTTTACTTATCTTATTGGTCTAGTGAAGAGTTCAAGTACTTTATTGAACAGATATGGAGAGAGGACAGTCTTGTCTTTTTCTTGATTTTAGTGGAGTTATAAGTTTCTCTCCATTTAAGTTGATGTTGGCTGCAGGCTTACTGTAAACTGCCTTTATTATCTATGTCCCTTGTATCACTAATCTCTTGAGTACTTTTATCATGAAGGGAAAAAAAATCCAACAATTTTTGTCAAAGGTTTTTCTCTGCACCATAATGTGATGTTTATCTGCTTTTTGTCCTTCAGTCTGTTTATGTGGTGGATCACATTTATTGATTTACGTTTGTTGAACCATCCCTGCATCTCTGGGATGAAGCCGACTTGATGATGATGGATGATCTCTTTGATGTGTTTTTACATTCAGTTTGTAAATGTTTTATTGAGTATTTTTACATCTATGTTTATAAAGGAAATTGGTCTGAAATTTTCTTTCTTTGTTGAGCCTTTATGCAGTTGAACTGTCAATGTAACTTTTCTTATAAAACAAATTGGAAATTTTTTTTATTTTTACATTTTCTGAAATAATTTGAGGAATACTAGGGTTAATTCTTTAAAAATCTGGTAGAATTCTGCTCTGAATCCATGTTGCCCTGAGCTCTGTTTGGAACTTTTTTTTTTTTTTTTTTTTGGTAAGGGTATGCATCTTTAATCTCAGCAGTTGGGAGGCAGTGGCAAGTGGATCTCTCTTTAGTCAGAGCCAGTTCCAGGATAGTCAGGACAATACAGAGAAAAACTGTCTAATGTTTGGAAGATTTTTTAACTACTGCTTTTATTTCAGTAGGAGTTTATAAGTCTATTTAAGTAGCTTATCTGATCTTGATTTAATTTTATAGGTCTTAAGTATCAAGAAAGTTACACATTTCTTTTAGATTTTCTATTTGGTGCAGTACAGGTAAAATGTTCTCATGGCTTTCTGACTTTCCTTTGTGTTCGTTGTCATGTCCCCCTTTGTCTTCAATTTTCTTCATTTAGATCTTCTCTCTCTGCCATTTCGTTAATTTGGGTAAAGGCTTGTTAGCCTTAGTATTTTTCTCTTTGTTTCATTGATTCTTTGTATTATTTTATTGCTATTTTAATGATTTCAGCCCCGAGCTTGATTATTTCTTGCCAGTACTCCTTTTGCAACAGATTGCTTTTTCTATTAGAGCTTTTAGGTACGCTACTAGGTTAGTAATATGAACTCTCTTCATTTTTACTATAAATACTTAGTGCTGTGAACCTGCTTCTGAGCCCTCCCTTCACTGTAGGTTTGGGTGTGCTGTGTATTTATTTTCACTCTAATCCATAAAGCTTTGAATTTCCTTCTGAATTTCTGTCTTGACCCAGTTTTCATTCAATACTGAGTTATTCAGTTTCCGTGAGTTTATAAGCTTTCTGTTGTTGTTAATATGAAATTTTAATCTGTGATGATCTGATAAGACAGAGGGTTATTTCAATTTTTTTGCATTTGCTAAGACTAGCTTTGTGATCAAGTATGTGGTCAAGTTTGGAGAAAATTTAATGAGATGCTGAGAAGAGGGTGTATTCTTTTGTGTTGGGTGAAATGTTCTGTAAATATCTATTCAGTCTACTAGGTTTATAATATCACTTAGCTCCAAGATTTCTCTATTTAGTTTTTGTCTAGATGACTGGTCGACGGTGAGAGTGGGATATTGAAGTCACCTCCTATCAATGTTTGAGGATCAATATGTGAGTAGTCTTTCCATTATGAACTTGTTTATTTATCTCTGTGTTCAGTGCATAGGACTTAAGAATTTCAATGCTGCCTCTTCTGCTCCTCGATTGGGCCTTTAGGCTGGGGCAGACACCTAGCTGGTCTGCTCCTGTGAAGACACCAAATCCTGAGCCATCCTAGAGGAACCGCTGCACTCAGAGCAGTAGAATTTCAGAATCCCAGAGGCGGCCTGAGTCCCAGGAGTTCTTCCACCCAGGAGCTCAGGATCTCAGAGACATCTGAACTCTGAGGAGTTCTGACACAAGCAAGATAACTGGAAAGTCAGATTATAGTCAGAGACAGTGAGTGCAGGTAGCACTAGAGTTAACCAGATGGCGAAAGGCAAGCATAAGAACATAAGCAACAGAAACCAAAGTTACTTGGCATCATCAGAACCCAGCTCTCCCACCACAGCAAGCCCTGTACACCATA